ATAATTTCCAGCGGAGATTATATGTATCTCCATTGGAATAACTATACAGGGTGTTAGGTAAAAGTCAGAAATTTGATATCATCATTTTAATTTAATAAATAAAATGTATAAAATCAGTTTGGTATGAAAATTAAAATAATTAAAATGATGATATCAATTTTCTGACTTCAATAAACCATTTATATGCATATGTTAACATGGGCTAGTGTCGGCTCATATACCCTTTTACCTAACACCCTGTATACTAATGTTTTTTTTACAATCTTTCACAGAAAACGAGTGAGATAGGGAAAAGAGAAAACGAGTGTTTATAAATTAAAACTGAGATACCTGTGATGAATAAGTATATGCTTAAATGTTAGTCAGGTGTAATGTGATAAAGTAAACCCTTAGGCATACACGTTACATGTTGTGGAGCATGTTGCTCAACAATTATTATGAAACATCCAAAGAAATAGTCGCAAGTGCGCACCCTCCCGGAGCATAAAATGCATCGCAAAATGTTGCCAATCGTTGAAACCTAGATTGAGCGTTCAGGGACATTCCTGTATCCAAAGTTTTAATAGATTTTAGTATCAGGGTATGTAATCGTTATGCTGTAAAAAGTGGGCAAAAAGTGTAACCAAATTGTCGATAGTTAATATTCAATAAGAAATATGCCTGAAATTCAGATGACCCATTATCTTTTCATTGTAACCACTGAGTTCTACATATAGGACCAGTACTTATAGGATTAGTTAGCAACCGATCACCAAGATCTCAAACTGAAAGCAAATGGCGATGTAAGTGACGGTCGTATGGTCCTTAGTACACACGCTTAACGCAAACACCGGCGGGCAGTTAACTCATTAATCACACTTTAACAGCCAGCCAATATTTGTAGATGGAATCGATTACACAGTCAACATTCGTATGACCTAGCCGCTAACCGCCCTTCACGTGCGTCGATTAACTAATTCTTCAAATTACGCCGCCATGATTAATGTCATAATCGGTTGTTAGCAGTGATTAGTGGGTAGCAGTTGGTACAAGGGCGTTGGATTAAGGAGTACAGACATGAGGAATGAGCGCCCATGAGTAAGTGTGGCATTAACGTCGGGGTCGTCGAACGGCGTCGGTCCGGGCCGGGAGGGGCGACGGCGTCGGTTTCGGCGCGCGCTATCGATCGGGCCTACCTTCCTGCGGCCGCAGCAGAGCATCCTCCGAGCGCGGGACTGGCCTCCCGGCGAAGACTTCAACCTGGTGAGTTTTCGCCACTGCATGGGGACAGGTTACCGCGCTTGCCGGGGCGGCGCCGGGGCCGGCAGATCGGGCATGGCGGCGCCGGGCGGCGAGACGCGGCCGTGCCACGCGAGCCTACCTCGCGGAGTGCCGGCCGCCCGCCCGCGCCTGCGCGTCCAGGCACACACCCCTCTTACTCCTCGATTAATAATTCCGGCTACGCTGCCTGTGCGTATGTGGGTTAGTTTTTTGGCGATCGATGCGATTATTCGGTGCGAGCCATTTCCGGACACCAGACCGAGCCGGTGCAACGGCGGAGGACCTATTAAATGCATTTTTACAGAAGGAAGGGATGACCTTAGTTGTTTTCAGGATTCAGGATTGAATCCAACCTGCGCGCTGTTCCGTTGGGCGGCCATTGTAGTAGCCTGCGGTGACTGAGAGTATTTTCTTTCTTTGACCGGAAAAAATAAAACCAGACGTTAGTTATAATACCTACGCGTTGCCACTTAGACTAAAACTGAAATCAAATATATTGTTTTTAATTAATTTAGAAATTACACTTCCAATTTTCCGCTTCAACGTAATTTAAAACTTAATCAGCTGAATAGTAAGGTAGTAATTACTCCGGGTAATCGGCACTAAATCTCTAAAACCGTTAAATCCGGTCCTGACGCGTTGAAAATAAAACTGTCACCTCGCATTGTAATCCCAATTAGTCTGGAAACATTTTTAGTACGTTAATTACGGTCGCAATAATTATAAAGGTTGAAGTTCAAAGCGCTACGACGATAATAAGCTTTACACGAAGCACGTGTAGAGATTGGGTAAACGGAGACCACAGACTTTGCCCGAAGACTTCATTAACATAGGCTTTTATTGCAAAATTAAATAATTGTAGGATCACCGACACATCTAAATAATGTTTTTGAAACAAATATTTAGTGTAACACCTATGAAGTATACAAATTAGTACTAGTAAGTATAAAAAAAACACTTCAGCCACATGACGTCCACTGCTGAACATAAGCCTTTTTCAGATTGGCCGGTTGGTAGCGGCCTGCATCTAGCGCCTTCCTGCTACCTTTATAAGGTCGTCTGTCCACGGTATGCATTTAATTCATGTTTAATACATTGTGCGAGGATCGAACCCGCGACTTTGGGCCCTCTGGCGTAGTACGGTACTCCAACCACTAAGCCAGACGGCCGTAGGCAGCATTTGAGCATGCGCTAACTTCTCTTACATTAGAACCATTTCAATGTTACTTCAGTTGTCAGCTTATTTTACACTACTGCTAATATTTATTACGAAATCACACCAATTACCTACAACTAATACATAAAGGTAACTATGTAAGTAGTTATACTGTAATTTATTTTATGTGTCGTCGCATGCCACCGTAAGTGAGGGGTTCTCCATTTATCTTGGTCCGTCTTGGATGTCAAAATCTTGAAGGTAACTTGTAACACACATCCTAAGGTCTATTTTATATTACAGAACGAAAGTCCCTACGACAAATTACAGGACAGAGTTTATGATTAAGAAAAAAGAATTTTGATAAATAAGTTTTCAATTAGAAAATCGAGTTCCTAGCGTTGTTTTGTACCTACTACAAACCATCGTTGGCTATACATCATATTGCTTTTAGATGCTAACTCATAATTAATTCGGCTTTGTATGTTCAGATTTGGCATCGGAACCGCTCGACCAAACCACATGAGGGTAGCGCAGCTTTGAAATCGCGAATTTTCCGCTCACAACTAAATTAATGGAATTTCGACAACCTTTTTCGCAACAAGTCATTATACGGTTCGGTCGGGTTTAGGGTTGCCAAGTGTCTGGCTTGCCGGACATATGTATTTGCCTTTCTATGGATGTGTCCGGTCAAATATTTTCTCGTCCGGCCCGTCCGTCTTTTCAACCTATTGTGTGGCATGCCGCTCCAGTCGAAGCTCGAGCGCACAAGTTAAGCCATGACGAGTTTCTTTTTATATTTTTCGCCTTTTTTATCATACTTTTTTTTTTTTTTTTTTTTTTTTTTTTATCCACAACGAGGAAGCTCTTGGCCTGTATCTCACCTGATGGTAAGTGATGATCAGGCCGAAGGTGGAAGCGAGCTTCACCCGGAATCCTCAACCACGGAGGAACTGGCTATCTTACCTCTATCTGTGCTTTATAAAGCTGCAGCCTTTGCTTAAAGTCAAAGTCAAAATTTCTTTATTTGTTTGGACTAATAAATAGTTCTTACAAATCGTCATTTTGCTCTTAAGGAGCCTCTACATGTCTCATAATCTTTTTACCCTACCAGCGCTTCGAGACCAACATTTGGCAAGTGCTGAGAAGAAGCGCCGCAACAAACTCAGTCACCACTGTCTGCCGGTTAATATAAATAAATAGGAATAGTAGTAGTAGGTACTATCGGGGACTCTTCCGCCTGACCACTTTGTAGAAATTTTAGCGTAAGCGCATCNCCCGGGACTCAAACTATCTCTATGCCAAATTTCATCAAAATCGGTTGCGAGGTTTAAGCGGGAAAGCGTAACAGACAGACAGACAGACAGACAGTTAACATCAAAGATCATGAATTTATTCTGAGTTTTTTTTGCCTCACCTGACATAATATTGTAGAATTTCCATTGACGGATAAATGATTAAATAATTAATTAGTGTATAATAATGTTTTTAAATGTTAACAAAGGCGATAAAATGGTTTCAAATTATAAGGAACCCTAATCTTATAAGTTATAATGCAAGTATATTGTTACTGCTGAGTGCTGAAACCACAGTTTTGAGCATGTAAGTACAGTCGGTAGTAAACATAACTCTACAAAAATGTTGAAACACTGCATTTATTGCTTATGTTATGCTTATCGTTTCTATAAACAACCAAAAAAAAAACGAAATAATGCAATTAACGAGATCATACCTCATCACACGATCAGTCAATATGATCACATGTACCTTTACATAGTAAAACAACCTGAGTGGTTAGTGGTCAACAGGCCGCAATACTACGCAAGAAGTCCCGGGTTCGATTCCCGGCTGGGCAGAAATTGAAATGATGAATTTCAATTCCTGTGATGGGTCTGGGTGTTACTATGTATAATGTGTACCTATGTATTTAAATAGTTTCTAGGTAGTATCCTATCCAATGGATATTATGTATTAAGCTAGCACCCATAACACAAGCATTTTAGTTGCTTACTTTGAAACTAGATGGCGCTGCGTGATATTATTCAAAGAAAGNACAAAGCACAAATCTACCCCCCGACAAAATTATAACAGCAATCAGCATAATAAACCAGCAGGCCCCCGTTGCTACAACTGCAATAAGTATGGACACATGAGTAAGTTCTGTAATAACAAAAAGAAGAATAATAATAATAATAAAGGTTTTGCAGCAGTGTTTTCAGCAGCTCATGAAAATATGAACAGTGTGGAATGGTATGTAGATTCTGGAGCATCTTTACATATGACTAACATGCCTGACTGTATGTATGATGTCCGGGCACCTCCGATACAAAATATAAAGGTTGCTAACAATACATCAGTTGCCGTGGAGAAGATTGGTAATGTTAATCTGGATTTGATTGGTGAAAATGGCAAGATAAATCACATACAGGTGAGAGATATTTTATATGTTCCACAATTGAGCACTAACTTGTTGTCTGTCAGTCAGTTAGTAAAAAATGGCTGTAAAGTAATATTTCATGAAGCTGGCTGTGAAATATATAATTCAGAAAAAACATTAGTAGCAACGGCTAGGCTGATTAATAATATGTACAAATTGAACACTGTCGACATAGATTCTGAAGAGGAAACATCTTGTAAAAGGTAAGATTTAATATAGACAAAGTAATATTCCAGTAATAAATCGATTTATTTTTGTTTGAAACAAGTGAAAATGATTATCGTTTTAAACTAATTTGATCGTTTGTTGGCAGGTTGAAGCAGCAGAGACCGCGAAAAACAGCCAAACATTTATTTGACGACTCTGAAGACGAATCAGTTAATAAACCGTAAGTTTTTAATCACTTTTATAACGTTTCACGTATTTACTTTGCGCTGTAATGTACCTATGTACTTAAATTAAATACGCGGGACTCACTTCTGTTTTGAAACAAATATTTATTAATTTATGCGAACAAAGACTCATACTTAGAAATTCTGTTTATTACTGTTTTAAACTAATTTGACCGTGTTTGTTGGCAGGTTGAAGCAGAAACCTCGAAAAACAGCCAAACATTTATTCGACGACTCTGAAGAGGAATCAGTTAATAAACCGTAAGTTTTTAATCACTTTTATGACGATTGAGGTATTTTACTTTGCGTTGTAATGATAATTGTATTTTGAAATAAATATTTATTAATTTTTGCAAGCAAAGACTTTGTATTCCGGTAGGAATTTTATAATTTTACCAGTTATCTCTCATTCCAACTAAAATAATTAAAACTGTTTAAGAATATTTAATTCAAACGTTTGTTTTTTTTTTCAGAACTAAATCATCAGCGAAAAAGTCGTCTACCAAACGCAAGTCAGCAGAGAGCTCGAGTGGAGACAAACGAACTCGAGCCTCAGGGTGGAAGCTGGACTTGGACGACGACGCGGACGTCGAGAGCAGTCGCGCGCGCAGCCAGCCCGGCCGCCTGCAGTCCGTGCTGACGCGCCGAGTGGCCGACGGAGTCCTGCGCCGCACCGCCTCTCTGCCTGGGGATCTCTTCGTGGAGTTGCGCCTCTACAACGCGGACGAGATACGAGCTGTGCAGCCGAAAGATCGTTGGGAGAAGGCGGTATTGTCACTCAAATACCAAAGCAGCTCTAACGCCGAACATCTTGACCTACTGCGGCAATTCGTCACGCGTGCGCGAGAGGCATTCGAAGAGGACGGTACTTTTTTCGCTGATAAAAAAAATAGTTCGTAATTTGTTATTAATTAGTTATTTAAGGTAATAAAATAAAATACTTTTTTATATCTTAGTTTTTTCACCCAGTCTATTTAATTTCATTCAAAGTTGTTAGGTAGGTTTTAAACTTTTTTATAATGTCTCAAAGAACGATATATTGCACAGTGTGCGATTTATCAGTTAAAAGTAATAGTTTCTCAGCTCATCTCAAAAGTAATACACATAAAAATAATTCAGCAATAGAATTAGGAGATGGTATAGAAAAAATAAGTAGTGCATTCCGTAGTCGAATAGCTACGTATCGATTGCGCAATAGGGATGAAGGCGTGCAGACGCCAGCCGAGTTCATGCGCAGCATGCGTGCGCGCGTGCGGCAACTCATACAAGCGCGACAACTAGCATTTAACAGCCTTAAAGTCAACTTCGAATTATTTGCAGAATTTTCTCTTAGAACTAATGACTCTAACAAATCTGAGCTAAAATCATTTGCTACAGAGAACTTTACCATACATAAGAACTACGCGTTTGATGAAATATTCTCACAAGCAATAGCTATTATTTCAACTAAAATTGACGAAATGCAAGAAAGGGACAGCGGTTGGTCTTTTCTCCGTAATTCGCACTTAGAAATTAACATAAACAAATTTAATCCTTTAAAAGCATCCGAATTTATAGATTTACCTAAAGCTTTGAAACTAAAACGAGCTTGTATTAATGTTCGAAACAGTGATAAATTTTGTTTTTTGTGGAGCATAATGGCAGCATTGTTTCCTGCTAAGAGTAATGCTCACCGAACTTCTTCATATCCTCATTTTGAGAACGTTCTCAATACAAAAAACATGTCATTTCCTGTAAATTTTTCGGATATAAAAACTTTTGAAAAGAATAATCCCAGTATAAGTGTCAATGTTTATGGAATTAAAAACAACACTAATATTGTTGGACCATTATACCGCACTCAGAACAAGAAAAAGAACCATATAAATTTATTATTTTTAGAAAAGGGAAATCTAACGCATTATTGTTGGATAAAAAATTTAAGTCGTTTGTTAAGGTCGCAAATAACAAAAAACCACAACAAAATATTTTTTTGTGATGATTGTATGGTATTCTTTAAAAACGAAATTAAATTAAATACTCATATATGCGGTGGCGTTGCTACTGTTTTACCAAAACCCGGCACACTTATACAGTTTAAAAACTATGAAAAAATGCAAGACATGCCGTTCGTTATTTACGCGGATTTCGAATCGTTATTACAACCAAGTCCAGACGGACCGACTTCAAATTCTACGAACGTCTTCCAAAAACATGTTCCGGCTGCATTTGCATATTACGTTGTTTGTTCATATGACAGTTCCTTGAATCGGTACGTATCTTATCTTGGAAAAAATTGCGTTGAAATATTTATTGAGAATCTTAAGAAAGACATATCTAAAATATTAAAATTATATAAAAACAAAATACCAATGAAAAAGTTAACAGTAGAAGAATCGGAATCATTTTCTAAATCGAAGCAATGTTATCTTTGCAATCAGTTGTTATTTGACGATAGAGTGAGGGACCACTGTCACTTAACCGGCAGGTACCGCGGTCCCGCACATTCATACTGTAATCTCAAATACCGCTTACCGCAATTCGTACCGGTATTTTTCCATAATTTATCCGGCTACGATAGTCATCTATTTATAAGGCAATTGGGAGAAATATCGGGACCAATAAAAGTTATAGCCAAAACTAAAGAAAATTATATATCGTTCACTAAGTTTTTTACAACAGATGATAATCATTACATGGCAGTTCGATTTGTTGACTCGTTCAAATTTTTAGGGACAAGCCTAGAAAAACTGGTTTCTAATTTAAACACACATGATTTTACACATTTATCGCGTTTTTTTTCTGAAAAAAATCAGTTTGAGTTATTAAGGCGCAAAGGTGTATACCCTTATGAATACATGACTAACTGGGAATCGTATAAAGAAAAACAATTACCTTCACGCCATAATTTTTATAGTAGTTTGAATGAGTGTACTATTTCAGAATCTGACTATAAACATGCCGAGCGCGTTTGGAAAACATTTAATTTAAAAAATCTAGGAGAATATACAAAGTTATATTTAAAATCAGACGTACTTTTACTGGCCGATGTATTTGAAAAATTTCGGTATACTTGTAAAACTAATTATAATTTAGATCCTTCGTTTTATCTTACCGCTCCAAGTTTAAGCTTCGATGCTATGCTACTTTTGACCAAAGTAAAACTTGAACTAATTGAAGACTTGGAAATAATTCGGTTAATCCAAAAGGGTATCCGCGGTGGTGTTTGTCAAGTTTCCACTAGATATGCGAAGGCAAATAATAAATACTTGCCTGATTACGATCCATCTTCTCCAGATAATTACTTATTTTATATAGATTGTAACAATTTATACGGTTATGCAATGTGCTCGTATTTACCTCATTCTGATTTTCACTTATTAAATGTGTCAGAATTTAATGCCAACGAAATTATAAACACGCCCGACGATGCCGAAGAGGGTTATATTTTAGAAATAGATTTAGAATATCCAGAACAGTTGCATGATTTACACAATGAACTCCCTTTTTGTCCCCAAAAATTTACTCCACCTGGCTCTAAAACATCCAAGTTAATACCTAATTTATACGATAAATTTAACTATGTTATTCACTATGTGCATTTAAAAGCATGCCTTGATCATGGTTTGAAACTAAAAAAAATCCACAGAGTAATAAAATTCAAACAAAGCCCTTATCTAAAGCAGTACATTGATCTTAATACCGAGTTGCGACAAAAAGCAACGTCTGCATTTGAACAAGATTTTTTTAAACTTTTGAATAATAGCATTTTCGGCAAAACATTAGAAGATCCGGAAAAACGGCTTGATGTAAAATTAGTAAATCAATGGGTTGATACTAGAAATAAAACTAAAAAACAGTACACTGCTCAGCAATTAATAGCAAGACCCAATTATCACAGCTCAACTGTGTTTTCTGAGAATTTTGTTGCAGTGCAAATGAAACCGGAGTCAATATTACTGGATAANTAATTGTAAGAGTGTGAAAACACCTATTGATCCAAAAACAAAGTTTAACATGAATAAAGAAGAAAATTTAACGGTTGATACAACTTCATATCAAGAAATAATTGGCTCGTTGTTGTATTTATCGCAAGGGACTCGCCCAGATATATCCTATGCTGTAAACAGTCTAAGTAAATTCAACTCAAAACCAGAAATGCAGCATTTGGTGGCGCTGAAACGAGTGTTAAGATACCTGAAATATACAGAAAATTATGCGTTAACTTATAAACAAAACATTGATGAGAAATCAATACATGGTTACTGTGATGCAGATTGGGCCAGCAATGAAGATGACCGAAGATCATGTACTGGCTATGTATTTCTATTTCAAGGTGGAGCAATCACATGGAACTCACACCGACAACAAACTGTTGCGTTATCCACCACCGAAGCCGAATACATGTCACTATCCAGCTGCACTCAAGAGGCTATGTGGCTAAGACAAATGCAAGAAGAGTTTTGGCCTTACTGCTCTACCATACCTGTCTTAATTTTATGTGATAACCAAAGCGCTATTAAACTTGCAGGTACTGAAAATTATCATTCCAGGTCCAAGCATATAGACATACGACACCATTTCGTCCGTAATAAGGTACAATTGAAGAAAATTGACATCAAGTACATTCAGTCAAGCGAGATGGTGGCAGACTCGCTGACTAAAGGGACTCCGCAACTGAAGCTGGACTACTGCTCTACAAAAATGGGTTTATGTCCAAGGGAGGATATTGGAATATGAACATAAACCTGCGTGTAAAGAAACAAAACGTCGAAGCGTTTTNCCCTATACTGGTGACCACCTTCGTGCAACACGACACTCATGATGAGCAACAGCAGCGACGCCGAAACGGCAACATCGCAAAATGGCAACGTCACGCAGCGGAAAAAGAAAATAAAATTACCATCTACTTCAAGTGCGCGCCGATTGAACCTGAAAGTGCCTCCATTTTCACCTGATGAGCCCGAGATATGGTTCGCTCTCTTAGAAGGTCAGTTCGAGTGTTGTGACATCACTGATGACTCGACAAAATTCCTAAACGTCATCAACAACCTTGACATACATCACTCAAAAGCCGTCAAGGACATTTTACTGAACCCTCCGGCTGAACACCGATACGAGAAAATCAAGACCGAGCTCATTAAGCGACTCTGCGCTTCCAAGGAGAATAAGGTTAGACAGCTATTAGTGCATGAGGAGCTTGGCGACCGGAAACCTTCGCAATTTCTTCGCCACCTCCAAGACCTAGCTGGACCTTCCGTCCCCCAGGATTTTATCAGGACGATCTGGTGCAACCGCCTTCCACAAAATATCCAAACTGTGTTGGCATCACAACCTACCCAACTTTTGGACCAACAAGCGGATTTGGCTGACCGAATCCAAGAAATTACATCACCCTGTAACGTAGCTGCAATTTCTTCAACGCACCATAATATCAACCAATCAACTGAAATAGCTGAACTGAAAAGGATGGTGGAAAATCTCACACTGAAGCTTGAAGAGCACACGCGTGGTCCATCCTGTTCCAGCATTCGATCCCGACCACAGCAACGTAATGTGACGTCACGTCCTAGATCCAGGTCGCGATCTCATACTAACTACAAAAAACATCCCATATGTTGGTACCATTGGAAACACGGACAAAATGCACGCAAATGCATCAAACCATGCGACTACAAGCCAGCGGGAAACTCCACCGGCAGTCTCTAATGGCGACCAGTGATTGCCATGCATCTTCAGGTCGCCTGTTCATTACAGACCGCAGTTCGAATACTAAATTTTTAGTGGACACCGGTAGTGATCTTTGTGTTTACCCCCGATCTGCGATTCGTGAACGTCGATCTAAGACAGACTACAAACTTAGTGCGGCCAACGGTACAAGTATCGATACTTTTGGTTATATCGAACTTAGCTTAAATTTAGGTCTAAGGCGTAATTTCACTTGGCGTTTCATTGTTGCAAATGT